GCGGACGAGGTGTCAAATAAACTGTAACGACTACAATAAAAAGTCGAATTGACGCCCAACATCGAGGTTCGGAACGACTTCAACAACGATATTGCGCTTTTGAATGTCATTGATAAAGAGCGAATGACAGTATACGCAAAATCGGGAGTCCCTTCCGCCCCGGAATCGGTGCTTTCCGCCGTTTTATTGGCCACCCTAGGTTAGAACCCTTTTTCGTTACATCCCCTGTGAGTTGGAAGAAGCTTCATTATATACTTCACCTGTAGTGGAGAGTTACTCTTCTCCCCCAGCTGATAACAGTTAACGTGTACTATCGTTATTTATAAAGTAGTAACGTTATTTTTCCCCAACGACAAATCACAAATCCGTCGTCCGAATCTCTACATCGCCGCTCTACCTGTTACGCGGATCGATCCGCCCGCGCTACGCGAATGCTACACGGCGTAGCGCACAATAGACAATTCTTTTTTTTTTCATGTCACTCCCATTTTTCCCCGAAAGCAGTGCGCCGAGCCCAGCATAATTATGTATTGAAACACGATCGCTAAATGGGACACGGCAAAGAGTTGCACGGGACAAATGAAGCCTCCGAGATATAAATGTAGACGTAAATTCTCTCGCCTATGTAGCAACAAAGGCCTCCCCCGACCACTCGTCTCGCACTCCCCGAAAATCAATATTACGCGGGCGACGGTTTTGATTTGAAATAGCGCTATCTAGCGGTAGCTTTATGTACTAAATAAAGTTGTTGTTTTTACTTTAACGTCTATTCATATACAGATGGCGCTGAATTTAATTTTATTTCTATTTTGTTACAGGTACGACACTATAATCTAATTACGGGACCCAAAAACTTCAACAGCAGGTCAGAGTATGTAGTTACAACTGACACCGGACAATTTTTCTTTTATAATTTAATAAATGTGTTTATGGTTCTGATCCTGCCATCTACCGGAGTGATTCCAACAATTCTGAAAGCTGCCTAATAGTAAGAGCGGAGAAAAAATATGTCATCAAATACAAATATTGTAAAGGTTTAAATTAATGATAATACGTAAAATTAAAATAATAATTTTCTTTTATGTTAATTTATTTTCTTATAAATAAAATATGGTAATCAAAAATAATTTGGATGAGATAATTGTTAATTTACGATCATCAGTTCATTGTTGTATTTCACGGTGTATCTATGCTTTTAATTTTGTTTATACAAGGACCGATGGTCTCAAGTAAAAACCTTTTGAAAGAGGAGCTTATCCTTTTTCTGCCAGCATCGCTAATACAAAAAACCTTTGTGATATTTGTTAGTGTTTGGTAGGTGATTACCGAAATACAGGGAGATTTTTTGAGAAGTGCCCAAATTTACACAGGAGGTTCAGACTCGGTAGTATAATCGTTTATTGAAATAAAAAACGAAGTTTTTTTTTTTTCAAAAAAAAAAAAAAAGCTATTCTATTCCCTAAAAAACAGAACGTGTTGACAATGCGGTAGTCATTCATAAATACCTAAATTTAACTATGCACGAACTTGTGTGCATGTTAGTTATGAATGATTGCGCGTAAAATAAACGAGTTGCGTATAAATCACGCACTTTTTGAGATAAGTTCAAATGAATGTAATTAATTACTTACGAGTGATTTTAAATATTTATCCTTTTGTATATAACATTATTTATGTCTATAATCTAATAAAAAAAAGTGGATACACTTAGAAAAGCCACCTTGTAGGTTGTTAGGCTCATAAAATATACCTGAAATCGCAGAGATACGCGAAAGTTCGTATATCTCTCCACTTAAACGACACTCGGAAAACATAGCTTTCAATCTATTTTGGTGTAATATATCCATTCTATTTATTCAAAACTATAAAGTTATCAGTATATTTGTGATAATTTTCCGCTCTAACATTACCGAGCCACACTTCGCTTCGGCTGATGAGTGAGGTGGAGGCACCCTCACGGGCGACATAGATAACTAAAAACACCCAAACGAACCACCAATGTAGGACAAGATACAATTAGCATGTAGATGCAGACACAATTTTTTTTTATTTTAAAACTGACTACCGTCAGTCGCTACGACATGAAACACTGATCATCGTAGATGTCAACTAATCAGATATCAAATGGCTTCTCAAATTTCAATTTAGTTGATATTAATAAGTGAGTGTAATACTACATAGTATAAAATATAGTCGTCCCGCTGTCTGTCTGTCCCTATGTATGCTTAGATCTTTAAAACTACGGAACTGATCTTGATGCGATTTTTTTTACTAGATAGAGTCGTTCAAGAGGAAGGTTTATGTGTATAATACATTGCACCCGTGCGAAGCCGGGGCGGGTCACTAGTGAAGCCCTTAAGAATCATAACACAAACGAATCGATAATTCACACGGGCTGTGTCGTCGAGTGTGAGATAATGACCGTTATGTCCTCTCGAACAGAGCACCGTTCGGGAGGAGTGCGTTTTACGGCGGCATGGCGGTGGCAGGCTACGCTGTAAATCATATCGGGGCGGTTAGGGTGACGGCGTGTGCAGAATCAACGGGACTATCCTGATGAATTGCTTTTAACACGCATACACATAATTCTCCTGTATATGAGACACGCATAATTCTCCAGTATGGGAGTGTGTAGGTGGTGCATACTTAAACAATTTAAAAATAAAAGTTTATAAATATTAAGGACGATCCACGAACGATGCAATATTGTTATTTAATTCTATAACCTTTACTTATTAACTGCCTTAGATTCAGAAGCTCGTTCTTTATAGAATACTAGCTTTTCACCCGCGGCTTCGCTCGCGTTGAAGCCCTTAACAACACTTTTTCCAATTAAAAAATAGCCTATGACCTTTCTCAGCCTCTAGACTATCTGTGTACCGAATTTCATTCAAATCGCTTAAGTATTTTTGGAGTGAAAGCGAGACAGACAGACAGAGTTAGTTTCGCATTTATAATATTAGTATGGTTTGTATATAACAGGACTTATTAGCTCTTGTTTATAACAATACAAAAACGCTTTTAATCCATCACTGAACTTTGTAAACATCATACAGTGAAGAACTGCTATTGTTACGTTTAGTTCATTAAGTTAATTAAATTGAACCATAAATTATGGATCTTCATGATCAAATAACAGAAAAAAACTGACACATTGGTGTCTACATCTGCATCATATGTCAGCTTGTTGACTGTTTGTTTTGTTCATGCATGATAAAAGCTAGTATTGCAGTATTTCATTCTTATATTTCCTATATAGTCATACAAAATTCACATGATGTATTACTCTAAACGTGTGGACGTGTTAACATGCTGGAATTAAGAAATGAACGTATATATTATCCATTATTCCCGGGATACCTGGTCACCCTCGCTTTTATCATAGGCTGCGTCTGATGGGACGATTAATGGCGCAGAAAACACCCAACGTCGCATTGTTCGTGTGCCCAGATTACAAAGATTATTCGGGGAAGGCGTGAAAGTTGAATCTGCGAATAATCTCGTGCTGTAATTTATGAAACAGAGTCGTCATTACAACGCGTGAGATAAAACACACTCCTTCACACACATACACACCACAACACGAACAGCGATGTGTAATAACATAGTTGACAATTGCGCGCCGTTTAAAACTTGTTCCGCTTTACACTATATGACATATGCAGCGTGTCGTTACAACCGCGACAATAAATGAACACACAAATAGAGGGTAACTTTTTAAAATTGTATTAAGCATTTACATTCTTTAAACATCAATATTTACAGAGTGTTGGCGCTGGCAACACTGTTTACCGGATATGACGTTATCTACTCGCACTTACACATGGTCGCAAAGAGCAGCGGTCACTTGGATTTCGGCTGCGTTCCCGGACGGTGATATAACCACTAGTGCTGCTTGTCGTTATAAAAAGTTGTTAATATTCATGTTCCGTAATAGTTAAAATATTAGGATCAAGGTAAAATCGCTAGAACTCTTATAAGAGTTATAAAATTTTCCAAAACAAACAATTTTAGAACATCCTTACGTATAAAACTGTAACTTAAAGTTCATTTGCAAAGGTCAAAAAGCATAATATGAATGGGTTAAATGAATTTAAAAGAGATAAAACATACTGTTAGAAGGAGACACTTGTAACGCGGCGCTGTGGCAACGAATGAAAAAGTCTCTGAATGTATGAATCAGTCAGTTGTAGTTGTATAGGATGTTACAAATTTTGTTTCTTTTTTATTTAATTAGTTTGTTTCAAATTTTTTTTATTATGGATTTCTTTTAACATTTGCATTTTTTATGATTATTGGCAAGAAGCGTTAGACGTGTGTTCATTTATTGTCGTGGTTGTAACGACACGCTGTATATGTCAATGTGACAGATGATACAGATGACAGGAGATAGCTGTCTATAACATATGTTAATTCTTCATTTGTTTATATCTTGTGTAATTTTATTAATAGTTTTAATATTAAGTTGTGAACTTAGCATAATAATTACAATCTTATTTTCTTTGTTCTAGGTAATTGCTACAATTATGTATTTGTTTAGATATTCTATATATAAAAATATAGATATTTAACATTCATAAAATCATTCACTTCATCATTTCATTATAAAAGTTAGGCAAAAATAAACAACCAGAAGTGTTCATTGGCGTATTCATTGAAAACCGCCAAAAAAGAAAAGAAGAAGAAGAAGATAGCTGTCTATTTGAACTGTAATTACACCAATTAGCATAAATTGAGTGCCGTGCCTCAGTTTCGGTGCGCTAATGTCATATCTATCCCGTATTTTTATATAATATCATTGACGTTAAATCGTTTTTCGTCACACTAACTATCTCAAAAACAATTGAGTCACAAATCCATCAACGGACCGAGAGAATCACATCAAATTACGAACGAACTGCGGACAAATCAATCGGTGACGTTTAAAAAGGGACGGAGGAAAATGGCGCCTTCCCGCCATTTTCTCCCGCCTTTTTTAGAGCCGCGGTGCCCGTGATTTATCGTCGAAGCGCTAACAGTGGTGATTCAGATGACGGTGCCTTCTTCGCGGGCTGCTTTGCGTCACTCGGGAGGGTTTTTGTCCTCTTGTGGGGTGGGGGGGTGGTTTTTTGCCGGAGGAAAATTAGGCCGAGGCGCCGCCGCGGCCGCCAGTTGATAAGGGTGCGCCCACATTGACTCGCCGAACTATGTTTTCGCGTGATTTGTCTTTTTTTCTGAGGAAATAAAAGCGATCGGTTGGTTCACTTGATGTCAAGTGGTCACGGTCCAAAGGAAGCTGCTACACCCGAGGGCTCGCAGACACTTTAACCATCTAAAAAGGTGGGCTCCGGTTACTACTTTCTTCACTTACTTAGAATTCCTTTCGCGACGTAAAACATGCGAAGCGTAATTTTAGTGACTTATTATGCGACATGTAGTAGGGGAAAATGCTTAATTAAGTTTTAGGATCGAAGAGAGAATGGACTACATTTGTTCATCTATGAATCACACGTCATTGGTAGCGCTATATGACATTTGGAAGAAAAGTGCTTTACGGGAAAAGATAAAGATATATTGGGCTGGTCAACTCAAAGTCAAAATATGTCATTAAAATCCTTTCTTCGAGTACTTTTTCTTAGTCATAGAAACTAAAATTATTATTTTCTTAGTATATTATTTTCTTAGTCATAGAATAGTCATATATTATTTTCTTAGTCATATATTATTCGAATAGTCATATATTATTTTCTTAGTCATAGAAATATTATTCGAATAGTCATATAGTCATATATTATTTTCTTAGTCATAGAAACTAAAATTATTATTTTCTTAGAATATTATTTTCTTAGTCATAGAATAGTCATATATTATTTTCTTAGTCATATATTATTCGAATAGTCATATATTATTTTCTTAGTCATAGAAACTAAAATTATTTACCAACATAGCCCTTAATTAAAATAATAAGTGGATAAATATACTATAAGTAACATGTGGAATAAATAATAAGTGGTACCATTTTCACTATCAATAATTGAATGTAATCCTCCTATGTTGAATGATATTTGAATTTTATATACGTTTCATATATTTGAAAAACAATTATAAAAACACATATACGAAGTAATCATTTCTCTCCTATTTTATTAATTAGCGACAGCGCTAGAAAAATCGCTACGGCTATGCAGCCGCTCTCGCTCCGCTCGCTAATGAAACTGCGCCCTAAGAGAGTTCATTAGGCAACCACGCCCACCACTGTTACGCAAAAGGACCGAATTATATTTATCTAAAAGCGAACGGCCCGCAAATTGTTTTGCGGAGCACTGACGTGACAACTTCGACAGCGACTTTTTTTTTCCTCGATCGGTTTTCGGCCAGCGTCAGCTGACGTCGGAGGTTTCATATGCTCCTGGATTAATGGTGGATCCTTTACTAATGTTATAGATATAAAATTGACTTATTTTTTTTTATTACAATGTCTCTGGAATAAAAATAACTCCCGTACTATTGATAATTCGTTTTTCGGACGATTTTACGCGCAATGAAAAATTTATGATCATACCATTCTATTGTTTTATATAGGCATCAAATCCATAACACGGTGTGGAATAACTGTTACAATATTCCATGGAAAAAATTCCAAGTTGGATGAACGAGTCAATGTTTCAAAAAATCTAACTGTTTAGCCATTTGAAAGACGTTACCTTTCAACAAAGTGAGCCTCGACACGCATAACTCTTCCACTACACGCTGGTCGTTTGTGGGGTCGTGGTACTTCCTCGAACGGACCTGCCCATTCGTGCAACAGCGAAGACTGCTGCGCGTCCCTGCCACAGCCACTACATTATACTCTATCATTATCATCAGCCACAAGACGTCCATTGTTGAACATAAGCTTTTTATTTAGTTACTTTCAATACCTTTGTCTTTTGGTTTTTTAAATTTATAACTTAATATTGTTTAATTATAGCGAAGCATGAAGTGTACACATATTTTTATAGGACAGTGTTCATAAGTTGCCATTATTGAGAATTATTATATTGTGATTATTGTACTGTTTGCTGTTCTATGTACCAAATAAAATGAAATAAAAAATTTGCCTCTGCCTTAGAACGCCACAAAGAATGACACTTTGCCATTTGCATCCACTGGTATGAAGAAGAAGAAGAAACGTTTATTCACGGTCTAATCACAATAGATGCTCTATAACCTATCTAAATAAACCTAACATTTCGATACAGGTGAAAGAACAAACGAAAAATTGTTTTGCCGTTAGAATGACATAGTTATCTTCGACACTTACGTTATCGTGAAGCAACAACTCCGCGAATCGAGGGCTTTCCTGTGTCTGTCTACCCCAATTCGCGACCATACCATCGGCGTAATGGTAATTCGAACGATGCCATAACGCGTAAATAAAATTTAACGACGCCATTTGCGGAATGTGGGCGCGGTGGAGGTAATTAAAGTGCGAACTCATTTTCTTTGATCGTGAAACGGAACGCGTCTTTTACTCTAATCGAGATGGAAACCGCAAAAAGTTGAGCGCGCAACTTATTTACTCTGTCTAAAGTAGGGGAATAGATTTTGTTGTCAAACTAGCTTTTTCCGGCGACTCCACGCGTTGACCTCGGGACGGCCTTTGATATCTGCTAACCCAATCCCTCCGGTCAGTAAATTTATTTGGTAAATCAATAACTGACAAGTTACTCCACGCTAGAGTTTTCAACACACAGCTATATCTCGTGATGGTCTTACAGGTTTCCGGTCCCAAAGGGTAAAACGGGACCTTTTACTAAAATATGTATGATAACACCATCTAGTGGCTATTCGTTTAAATGAAAGGTAACGAAACAAATTCACCGGTTAGTTCTTCAAAGATATAACTTTAAAATATGTAGAAAAAGAACTAACTAGAAAGAGGAAATGGAACCCACGTCTTGGGCATTCGCGGCCTGACGCTTTACCACTAAGGTAAACGGCTCATTGCCACACCGACGAAAATCTTAAGATGTTTTATCTACATTGTTTTTTAGCATTTGACGCAATGCTTGGCGCATCCATTGTTATATCCTTTCCAGCATACAAACAATTTCGAATATCGTTTTGCAGCGATAATTCGAACGAGAAACGTCGCCATTGCTTTTTTTATAACTTTAAATTATTTATAGTGCTAATCTCTGCACTTAAGATTGAACATTAAAATGTGTAAAAAAAGTACGAAAAGATTGTCGCCGTGTGGCAATCGAACCCTAATGAATGAACGGTGGTAGCGCCACGCAGCAGCCTCGGCTGTTGTACGAATGGGCGTGCTCGTCCATGTAAGTACCACGACCTCACAGAAGACCGGCGTAAAGTGGAAGAATAATACTTTCGCGTTTCGTCTGGTGAGTGAGGTGGCCGGAGCCCAATTTTCAAAAGGTTGTCAACGCATCTGGTACCCTCGGGTGTAGCAGATGTCCATGGGCGGCGGTATTCACTTACCATCAGGTGAACCGTCTGCTCGTTTGTCAACTTTTCGCATAAAAAAAAAGAAAAAGAACCAAAATGATCACTGCTAAAATTCATGTTTGTATCGACTCTATATCTGGCAACACTTGGATATACTATAGTTGATAGTATCGCTGCCTCGCTCGCACCTCTCACTGTCTCGCACGCGGTCGCCGACGCCAAATCTAACTATAAACAGGCGCACCCCATAACGGTAATTTGCATATCAGTGAGCACGCACTGTTTGCCGAGGCAGGGTGCGACCCATACATATTTTTATGTGAGAAGGTGGCAGCGAGCCGGTGGTTCACCCGATGTTAAGTGATAACCGCCGCCCACGGACATTTGCAACACCCGTAGGGTTGCAGGGGAAGTCGCCAGGGGAAGTACCGCGACCTCACAGAAGACCGGCGTGAAGTGCAAGTGTTATACTTCTATTTCCTCTGGTGTGTGAGAGAACAAGGCTCATTTTATTTAAAGGTGGCAACGCATCTGCATCCCTACGAGTGTTGCAAATGTCCATGGGCAGGCGGTTATCACTTAACATCAGGTGAGCCGGCAGCTCGTTTGCCACTTTCTCACATAAAAAAGCCGTGTTGGATTATGTGATATTATTTACGATCGGCCGCCAGCCTGACATCCTTGGGAATCGAACACCTAGACCAGGAAAAATTATCTGTGGGTCAAACAAGTACTTGTCCAGTGTGGGAATCGAACCCACGATTCCCGACGCCGAAACAATACTGGGAAAATATCGGGTTCCCGTGAGTTTAATCCACAGAAGTCAATAAAAAGATTTTTTTTAATGAGAATGAGATATAAGTTGATTACTGTAATAATTTACTTACAAATAGATCTTTCACTACCTCACTCGCCACCATCCACGATGAGATGGAAATTTACTGCCGTAACCTTTGCGATTACCGTAAGAATGTCCTTTTAATTTTAATTTTGTTTTTGTTTTATGCCTAAGACAATTTCAGACCTTCAATTTAAGTTTAAACAAGCCAGACGGATAAACTTACTTAGTACAAAGGAACATTTTAAAGAATCTTAACGATACAACTTAATGTAACTACTTAACTTTTAATGATGTTTACACGTAATATAGGCTGTGTCAAATTTTTTAGCAACGTCCACACGTCTGAATAATTTGGAGCACACATTAAAAACCCGACGATGATTCAATTCTCGTTATAATTTCGTCGAAACGACGCGACGACATCATCGGCGTAATGGCCCCCTAAAAATAAAATACAACCACAATTATTCTATACGTAATGCTCTAAGTTGAAGGCAAATTTTATGCGCCATCAAAAAATAAATATTGATACGTAACGAGAGCCGTGATAGCTCAGTGTCCGGGCGCTCGCCTTAATTCTCGAGCAACCTGAGTTCGATCCCCGGTGCCGGCACCAATGAAGTTTTTAACTTTAAGTGCCGACTTATCACGTGCTCCGCGGTGAAAGAAAACCTCGTGAGAAAACCTGCATATTTTCGAAATAATATCAAAAAAAATATATTTCGAATATACGTGAAGTCCGCCAATCCGCAGTGGGGCCGCGTGGTGGACTATGCCCTGATACCCTCTGTATGGAGGTCTTTGCCCAGCAGTGGGACATGTATAGGCTTACTTTACTTTTTACATTACGTAACGATAAGAAAAATTACTAAAATTTTTCATTACAGGCAACGTTTCCTTCAAACTTTATCCTTTTGAACCGACTTCAAAAAGGGAGGAGGTTATCAGTTCGACTGTATTTATTCATGTTTGTTACCTCAGAAAATTGTTGTCAGCACGATTTCTGTGCAAACGCGAGCGAGATATACTAAATTGTATCCGGTGCTTAACATTTAATATCGGAATGTTAATCGGTAGTTTTTTTTTTTGTTTTTTTTTTTTTTTTTGGCTGGATGAGCCACTGTTGGCCTTAGGGGCCTTCACAGATCAATCGGTAGTACGTTCACTATTGGTAATTCTACGTAATAGTAAATTATATTTGAAAGTTTCGATCGAGTCAACCGATTTTGATGGTTCTTCGATCTTTTTTATTTGAAAGCTGGTGCTTCCCACGTGGTCCCATATTAATTGCATTGGTATTGGATCTTGGGCTCGGGAGATACTCAGGGAACTCATGAAAATCAGTTATAAAAAGAATACAGAGCAAGATATTTGAAGTCGGTTTTATTTTTCGTTAATAAAAATGGACTTGTTCTTATATAAATATGTGGCAAAACCTAAACTAGGTGGCAGTCACTTAGCTCGCGACGCCGTTGGTCGGGAGTTCGATTCCCACGCGGGAAAGTATTTGTGCACGGGGGAAGTATTTGTGTGACCCACAGATAATTGTTTCCTAGGATAGTTGACTCGAGGCAGATTGCCCATCGCACAAGAAACAAGCCAATAACACGAACATGATTCAAAATTATATTGTGCCGACCCAGCCTAAGCTGCATAATTGTGATTCTAAAACGGCAGCCAAAGATATCAATTGGCTATAAATTAGTATTCAAAGCGAACTTCTTAAATTAACGAATTTAACGCAATCGAATTCTCTGAATAACTTAGCAGGGTGCCCATAAAACGTTCGAGTCAAAAACAATTTCAATTGACCAATAAAAGAAGTAGACTATTATATTATTTTATTACCATAAAGAACACTATAAAAAGATTCCGCAATCCATCAGATAATCATCAGTTCAAATGTACCAGCTTTCTTTTCTTCTTTTTTAATAAGACTTGTCGTCTTATTAAAAAATGAAGCTCACCTCTTGTCATGATGAGATTTACTGGTGCCAGGGCCAAGCAGCTCCTGTATTACGAAGGGACCAGCTCCGGGCACTCCCCCGGCGTGATACTTTCCACGGCTTCACCAAAGAACGGTGCGAAGTGAAACTTTTATACTTTATTTCGTCTCGCGAGTGAGGTAATCGGGGCTCTCTTAAAAGTACCAAAACAAAAACCCACAGGTGCTGTGTAGAAGTACAACTTATAATATGCAAGTGCTTAGTATTTTATATGCATACATTCACACTAAAGTCGGAGGGATAAGCATCTTTTACACCACTTACAACATGTGCTTACAGCCGTGATAGCTCAGTGTCCGGGCGCTCGCCTTTAATTCAATATACTCGAACAACCTGAGTTCGATCCCCGGTGCCGGCACACATGAAATCGTTAATTTCAAGTGCTGAATTATCAAGTGCTCAGCGGTGAAGGAAAACATCGTGAGGAATGCTGCATGTTTTGGAAATAATAATAAAATATTTCGAAGATATGCGAAGTCTGCCAATCCGCAGTGGGGCCGCGTGGTGGACTATGCCCTGATACCCTCTGTACAGAGGAGGCCTTTGCCCAGCAGTGGGACATGTATAAGCTGATACTTTACTTTTTTTTACATGTGCTTATATGGCCCGTGATAGCTCATTGTCCGGGCGCTCGCTTCTAATTCAATATACTTGAGCAACCCGAGTTCGAACCCCGGAGCCGGCACATAATACACATTCATAATTCTAAGTGCTGACTTATCAAGGGCTCAGCGGTGAAGGAAAACATCCTGAAGAAAAGTGCATATTTTTAAAATAGAAACAAAAACTCAAATATTTCGAAGATATGCGAAGTCTGCCAATCAGCGGGGTTGCGTGGTGGACTATGCCCTATTACCGTACAGGGGAAGTCTTTGCCCAGCAGTGGGACACGTATAGACTGATACTTTACTTATATTATGTTTCAACTTATTAGTAATTTAACGTCGTTTATTCTTACAAAAACGCTCTTATAAGGTTCAAATGTGACTTCGTGACCGTGGATATGGTGAAGGAATTAAAATTAAAACATTCAAATATATATAACATCAATCAAATCATATGTTCTTTTCAACTCTTAAAATTTTAAGATAAAACTTACAAAACTTTTAGTCGGAATTTTGCGATGATTGTCTTTACGCGTTTTTTAAAGTTTAATCTTACGTGCAGAGACTAGCACTAAAATGACTAATTAAAATCTTTCAAACTCTCCAAGATATAACTAAAACTTTAATTTAAAACTCAAGGTGAACTCTGTATAACTTTCATTGATTACCACAGGCCGTTTCGAAGTCTATTCATGAAAAACTTTCGAGAGGCGAATAAAATCAAACGACCGTTTCGAATAAACTTAGAATTTATCGAATATCAGGACTCTCTTCAATTGTATTATTGGAATAGATAAGTGTGAGCGACCTTGCGTGTTGGATTCCCTCGGTTAAAGTATGAGGACTTGAAAATCAATAACAAAATATAAAAGAAATTTAATATATCGTAGCTGCTGCCCGCGACTACGTCTGTAGAATAGGCTGAAGGCGTAACATTAGGACAGAAAGACAGATATACATAAAAAATTTATATAAATTATAGCTTATGTCTTATTCTGATGTATAAGCTATATTATTTTAAAGTTTCATTAATATCCATTCAGTAGTGTTTGCGTGAAAGAGTAACAAACATCCATCCATACATACAAACTTTCGCCTTTATAATATTAGTACCTAAGGATTTATACTCCAAAGGTGTAACAGCGCTGGTAGCCAACAGAGACTTGGCCGAATGCGAAGTTGGCGTACAAAACGTAATCGAGGTGGTTTGATGGACTTGGGAAGTGACGTATTTTTTTAACAACAAAGAAAAAGTGTATAATATTTTTTTAGAGCTTATAGTTAACAATGCAAGATGCTTTTGCAAAAATCATCGCGCTGAAAAAATAAAGCTCTTATCTGTTAATTTATGATTTTATCAGTCTCCGAAAAATCTAAGTTGCAATAATCTGTTGCCCATATACGTCGAAAAACTTCAGGTTTTGGACTAAATGGCTTCGGTGAAATGTGGTACATTATATACCTCTTTCCAACCCAGTTAGATTAATTAAGCTTGCCTATTATATCTTCTACAAAGCACAAGTTTTATTTTCAATAGAACCTTGACCGGTAAAAACAATTTTAAGTTTATAACATTCATCATTTGATGTAAGGAAATTACGTGAAAATTTTAACCGTAACATTCATAAAAGTTTGTGACCAAGCGTTTACGAAAATAACGATTTTAGTTTTTATTTTTATTGTTATTATTGAAATGAACTTCATTAAAAAAAATATTTAGTTTATATAATTTTTTGTTTATTTATGCGGACATTTACAACACAATGAGAATTGATAAGAGTGAAATTAATTTCATCGAATAAAGTTGACTAATTCGTAAACTGATTTAAAAAAAAACATTATAATTTGCTATATTTCAATGAAAAGAAGCTAAGTTTTGCACTTCTAGACATCTATTGAAGCTATACTAACCTAAAACACAGAGAAACTACAATATTACCAAAAATACGCCATCTTGTTTCATAATTGGCGCCACTCGTGATGTGATGTTTTTAATCTCTAAATAGAGACAAAAGATCGGCGCGTCGAGGTTAACCTAAACTGTAGAACTGTAAATAAATTGACACGTTAAATATAACCTGTGCACATTCTGCTTCCGTATTTAAGATTAGGACAAAATGCAAGAACTAAATTTGGAGGTTTTCACACGAAGCTGGGGTGAGACGAGCGTCCTTAGCAATAGGGAGGGTGAGATGCGGGCGATATTCGTGTTATCCACCCCTACAAGAAAATGGCCACCGTGGGATGCAGTGAAAGATGGCGCGCGCATGCGCCGTGCCCCGCTCGATACATGCACCCTCGGGCGCTCCGAGAACCAGTCCAACATCAACGACATCTGTAACATTAAAGGACTCTGCCGCAACGGCCACTTGCACGTTACACACTGGCACACACAACACTGCCGGGCAGAATGATGGGCAGGCCGGCGGATGCCACTTCCTCCTCGTATGCGGCCGCTACTCGTGGAGCCGGCGAGACCTGTGGACAGAACAGAGCACGAAAGACACACACACAGTTCAGGGTTGGCTGAGGGCGGCTCGGGCGGCAGGTCGGGCACGGCGTAAGGCTGCGCCACCGCCGGTTTGTCCAGGCGCAGCAGTAGCCAGTACGTACTGCTGTGACAGGACAATATGGCGGGGGCGAGCGTGGCGGCGGCGGCGGGCGTCGGCCGGCGTGTGAGGCAGCGCGCGTGGCAGCGTGGCCGGCCGCCCCTCGCGTGCGCCCCCTCCCCCGCCGCGCCCCGCCGCGCCCCGCCGCGCCCCGCGCACGCGCCCTCGCGCCCCCCCCCCCCGCGCGCCACCACCGCCCCCTCCACACCCTCAATGAACGCCACCCTCAATCAACTATCGATTTTTCTCGGAGGAAAAAAACATTTTTTTTAATTTCGTATATTTTAATTTAATGCATACGGCCAAACGCCACCGAACGCCTGTGTCCGGGTGCGAAATACGAATTGAAAAAAAAATAATACTCGCAAAACGTAAGGATAGTCTGTGGCGAAATTGGGTTACGGGTCATCGACCCGGGAGGCGAGCTACGCGACGGACAAGGCAACGATGTGTTCCGAACATTATTATATAGTTATTTTGGCCAATAATATAATGGAACAATTATTATTTTTGCACAAGGTATTTATAATAAACTTATTATTATCAAACATATACATTTATGAAATAAAAACTTACGGGTGATAATAATTAAAATCACAACCTACATTAAACGCGGATTTTAAAATGAAGTATTACAATTCTATAACATAAACTTGCCTCAACCTTAGTTTCGTAAATTTATTAAATAGTTGATTGCAGCCTTTACAATATTAATCATTTCAGTACACCTTTAAACAGTTCAATATTTTTTAAAATAAAATACCACAATTCAATAGTATGACATAATTATATTCATAAGATTATCCAAGTTTCCAATAGTTTAACACTTCTTATTTACCTCAATATTTGACATCATCTTTTTTAATCTTGTTAGCACGACAAAAAATCGGCACAGTCTACAATATACAGATAAAATACACAAGTGTAAACTATCCTTGCGTCATCCTAAACTGCTGTGCACTCTATGGTCTAAGCGAGTCAGCATTTATTGACCAAAATTATAATCATCATCGTCCCACCCTTATCTCACGGGGTCGGCACACCATGTGAATCATGTTTTAAGCTGGTATTGACTAGTTTTTTTACGAGTGGCCACCTGCCTTACGTCAACCACCCTTGGAAGCAAACATCTGGGTCAAAACTGGGTCTCATAAACACTTGTCTTGTGCGAAAGAAGCAACTGAAATGATTTTTCAAATCTCTCTGGTAGTTCCTCCTATGAGTGCGTAGACACAAGAATCGACTTTGCATGCCATATATTATGGCTGAACTTGAAGGTCAATAATTTTGTAAACCAACTTCTTAATCACCCAGTTTAATGACAAATAAAGATTTTTTAATATTATTAATTTATAAACAGATGCGGCGAAATTGACCGTAGCCGGAGAGCATGCAAGCCCAGAGCAGAGGCTGAGAGAGAAGGCTGATATTTGAAACGAATTCGATCGACAAAAGTTGAGAGGGAGAGGGAGATAGAGAAAGCAAGACGCACAGATGAGTACCGCGTGGCGACTTGCGAACAACTCTGGCACGAGAAAACTTACCGCCCATGGAATTAATTAGACATAATCTAGCTATACACTTTTATTGTGTTAGGGCCATGCAGAATGTTGCACATATGGGCAGGCTCGTGCGGCCTTACAGAGAATAGGCGTGAAGTGGAAGTATTGCACCTTTGGTTTTTAAAGGCTGGCAACATCCATACGACACCCTTCAAGTGTTGTGAATGTCCTTGAGTGGCGTGGATCATTTAACTTTTTTCATAGAAAAGAAAAAAACGCAGACTAAAAGGATTTATAGCAATCATTGACTTTGGGCAGCATTCGAAACGTCCTTGTTTATCGTTTTATATCATATGGTGACATAGGAAAAGGCGTCTCAACTGATGTAAAGTGATTATCGATGCGCGTTTCGGTTACCTCACTCAAGGGGAGAAATGCAAAGATGTAAACACTGCGCCGTGGAAATTCCCCGACACAGCCGGCTCGTTCATTCCACGGAAGCCGCTATGTGGCTCAATGGTAATTTCAATTTAACATGATGAGACCATTGAAGCAATAATTTTATTTGATCGTGTGTATTATTTTAATAAGACCAGTTTACGGAGTTAATCGCTTAATTTTATTAAAAACTCGCGACGTTTAGAATTCTTCGCGGATTTGGTGATGAAACATAACATTTATAGGTTAGGACATTTGTAATCCGCGTAAAAGAAATAAATATGAGACGAATTAAAAAGGTGGTACACGAAACAAGGATTTTGTAATAATATAAATAGTGTAATCTATTGTAGTAATATTATTAGTACAATTAGTCGTGGCATAGTTGATTATGAGGTAAACGCAATTACTTCGCAAAATCTACACTCTTTAATCACAGAATATAGGCGCCGACCATAGTGACGTCACCCTAAAGCGTAGGTTCTATCACAAATGTTCGGTTTTTCGGACTTACTTATGTCCTTAGATCGACGCCGTACTTCAACCACCCGCTGGGGATTCTGCATTTTACAAATTTTATCGAAGTACAATATTACTACATACCTCAAGATCAGACCAAAATACATAATTATGAAAGTAACGGTAGTCCGGATAGCCGTTAACTTTTAGAGATGGGACGGTACGTAACATTTTGCATCATTCAAACTATCCCCTACGCATCTAGTAGACACCGTCAAAATCAGTTTCCGGCCGCTCGCTTTTATTTAAATATGTTCGAGTAACCCGAGTTCAGATCACTGCCGGCACCAATGGAATTGTCGATTGCTATTTAAGGTACTGACTAATCACGTGTTCAGTGGAGAAGGAAAACATCATGAGGAAACTTGCATATTTTCCAAAAATTAATAAAAAAAAAACCTATGCAGTTTACGCAAGTTTACGCAAACCTTTACGCAATGCAGTTGATAACGGCTTACTTAAATAACATGTAATTATAAAGACCCGCCACGACTTTGCTCTGGTGCATTATGCATATAAACTTCCTTATTTTTCTATCTATTGCTGAAAACCACTTTAAAATCCGTTACGTAGTTTAAAAGGTCTAAGCGTACAAACAACGAGAGCGACTTTGTTTTATACTATGTAAAGATGTCAAAACGCTGTTATAGATTGCTAAAATTAAATTGATTAACACGCATCGTCGATTTTTGAGGTGCGGTGTGGGTAGACTTCGTATAAATTTTACTCTCGCAATTGTTCCAAACGCGAAAAATGAAGTTTAATTTCAAAAATATATAAAGTATAAGTCATACTTCAAAAGTATAACTTCAAACGTGTCTAAAGTCCGCCAATCCGCGGTGGTATTGAATTCCCCAATACCCTCAGTACAGAGGACGCCTTTGCCCAGCTGTGGGACGTATAAAGGCTCTTAATTAACTTTATTTTTAATATTTAAATTTTAGGTGACCCGAATTGCGTAGTGGGTAGTGTACCACCCTCCAGCGCCCGAGTTGGGTATGATCCCCACTTCTGGAAAAATATTGTGCGATGAACATAGTGTTTTCTTGTGTCTAGGTAGTGGTAGAACGTTGTGTAAAAATGTGTCGTAAAATATTTATATTTATTACTTATTATTCCATTTTACTCTAGCCAACATCGGTCGCATGATCAAGGGAAAACGGAAAAAACATGCACAACTGGCAATAGCTTTCGGCCAGTTTCACTTAGTCCATGTTCCCAATTCGCGTTCGTTAGATTGGCAACCCTGGGTCCACTCAGAGTCGAGTGGCTCGCGACTGAGCCTGAAAAAGATCCGGTCCACTCGGCGCGCGGAGCGTTGATTGCGGCCAGTTTCAGCGGCTCTTTTGCAACGACTATTTTTTTTCTTTTTTTAAACTGTCGATCGAGCGTTCTCTTTTCAAAGTTCGCGGGAACGGGGCGCGTTCGGCGTTTCTTTGTGGGCGTATTGGCGATGAAGTACAGTAGTCAAGTAAATATCAATTAAAACCATTACGAATTAAATATTTTTTACTTAAATAAATGAAGATGTAATTTGACACCCCTCATTCAGAACACTAGGGCCAAAAAATGTCTAAAAGATGCCAGCGACCAAAAACAATCAATCAGGGTTGTGACACTGACGATAGTCGCCAATGAACATTTTAATTAGTTGGGTGACAACGCTTCAGTAACTTTCCAATAACCCGTTAGATGAAAATTCAGCTACACTCAAAACGGAACAGCAAAGATCCCTTCAAAGTCAACAAATGTGTACTATGGCATAATCAAATATATGTTCAATTATAAAAAAAGAATCGTGTAAATCGGACTAGGATTCTTGAGTTGTAAATCCCTATATATACAGACACGGTTACGGTGGTAGGGCCAGCCTCGGCTGTTGCACGAATGGGCAGGCCCGTCCGGGTAAGTACCACGACCTCACAGAAGACCAGCGTAAAGTGGAAGTATGACAAATACTTTCGCGTTTCGTCTGGTGAGTGAGGTAGCCAGAGCCCAATTTTCAAAAGGTTTTCAACGCATATGTAACCCTCGGGCGTGGCAGATGTCCATGGGCGGCGGTATTCACTTACCAGCAGGTGAACGAACCGTCGAACGTTTGGCAACTTTTCACATAAAAAAAAGACAACAATATACAAAATATCAGCCTATTGCCGTCCACTGCTGAACGTAAGGCTCCCCCAATGTGCGCCACAACTATCCCAGTCCTCAGCAGCCCGTATCCATCCACTGCCCACCACCCTTATTAAGTCGTCAGTCCATCGTGCTGCAGAGGATTCCACACTACGTTGCCTTAACCGTGGTGTCTACTGTAACACTCACATATACAGACAAACATACAATGATTTCATGACATATTAGTAAAATAGTGTTACCTATTTTATGTAACCTAGATAAACCCTAGACTCTGGCCAAACACTGACCTCTCGCTTCTAAAGCTTCCACTTATGGCTGTATCACCAGAGAGTTGTAGAGAGGGACGGAACAGTAGGTTGTAGGCAAACACTAGTTGGCTATATATATTGCATCAAAATATCTGAACGTCCTCGAATTTAAACGAGTTATAATTTTCACCCGTGTCTATGCAACATACAACAAACTGGCAACACTGACGAGCCCCCAGTGACAGTTAATTATTCGTGGCATTCGGAACGCTTGCATTCAGATGGAATACTGGAAATCGGGGGCGGTAGGTAGTTCAAATGACAATTCGAAAGATTCCCGCTAAAGATGATCACAGATAAATAAGAATGTTGTTCGGATTCTTATTAATGAAATGAATTCAAACTTACTAGTACAGATTTATTACGAGTAAGTATCAAATATTATGAAATATGCCGGAAAACTAGTTTCACATTTTATGTTATCCTTAAAGTTCAAGGATACGGGACGAGACCCATTACTATGAGTCCTTTAGACATATATCTTGAATTCTTGACGAAATTTATAAAAGTACTGTCAGCAAAATCTACTCAACTTATTTTACTTATATGTACATGTGTTTTTTCTGCCTCAATTTGTAAACCATTCATTGAACATTAAAATATGTAGAAAAAAGTGCGAAAAGATTGTCGCCGCTGTGGGAATCGAACCCACGTCTTCGGCATTCGCGGCCTGACGCTCTAGCCACTGAGCTAAACGGCTGATTACCACACCGACGAAAATCTTAACGCATTCTTCCACATTGTTTTCTTAGCATTTGAAGCAATGCTTGACGCCATCTATTGTTATATCCTTTCCAGCATACAAAACAACTTCGAATATCGTTTTACAACGATAATTCGAACGAGAAATGGCGCCATTGCTTTCTTAGAAATTTAAATTGTTTATAGTGCTATCTTTGCACTTAAGATTGAACATTAAAATATGTAGAAAAAGTGCGAAAAGATTGTCGCCG